AGGAAAAAAGCTAAACAAGGGAGATTAGATTCAAAGTTCTTGTTCTTTAAATAAAAAGGGAAGAGGGGAATTGCTGTGGGACAATGGCCTTACCCTGTAAACATTTGTTGCTTGTACTTGTTTAATAAAATGCTGACTGGCCAGTAGCCGGGCAGGAAGTATAGGTGGGGCGACTACTCAGGAAGTAGAGGTGAGGCAATGAGAACAGGAGAATTCTGGGAAGATAAAAGCTAAGTAGTCGTGACCCCAGTCATAGAGGAAGCAAGATAGCAAGATGTGACTGCCTTGCTGGAAAAGATACCAAGCCACATGGCTAACACAGACAAGAATTATGGGCTAATATAAGTTATAAGAGTTAATAAGAAGCCTGAAATACTAGGCCAATCAGTTTATAATTAATTTATACCTCTGTGTGGCTTTGGGGGGGGGGCTTAACGATTGTGGAAACCAGACAGGACAGAAACCTCAGTCAACAAATGGTGTTGAGATGGACAACTGCATCCACATAAAGCCGGAGAGTGCTTGGGAAGTAATTCTAGACAGAAAAGAATAGAGGAAAGGACGGTTTATTGACAGCAGCATTTTCTCGGGTGGGCTCTGCTTGCAAGAGGCAAGTGCTCTCATTTATGAGAGGCTTCCTCACTCAATTTTAGCTGCAAAATCTTGCAGCTCTTTTAAGAGGTTCTGCCATGAAACACTTAAATGGTGTTGATGAAAAGCTGACTGCATGCTTTTTGGTGGTGTCAGGGACCTTGAAACACCATAGAGTTGTGGCAATAAACATGGCTCTGGCTGGTACCTCTGCTACGAGTCTGGAATCTCAAAAAGTAAAGAATGGGTTGGATCCAGATGTCAAAGCCATAACTTTAATCCTAGACATTTTGCTTAGGAAATTAAAGACTCATATGGTCAGAAAAAGAGAGAGAGATACAGTAAAAATAGATTCAAAGACAAAGAAAACCTTTAAATGGTTTAGAATGTGTTTAAAAATATATGTAGGTTTGGGAGGGGAAAAAAAGCATAAAGTCCTTAAAAGATAAAAGAAAAAAGAGAGTAGTTGGGTGTGGTGGCACACACCTTTAATCCCAACATTTGGAAGGCAGATGCAGACAGATCTCTGTGAGTTCAAGGTGTGGTGGCATATACCTTTAATCCCAGAACTTGGGAGGCAGAGGCTGGCAGACCTCTGTGAGTTCAAGGACAGCCTGGTCTACAGAAGGAGTTTCAGGACAAAGATACACAGAGAACCCCTGTCTCAAAAAGCCAAAAATTAAAAAAAAATAGAGTTTAAAATAAAGCCATATAAAGATGGAAAACACGCAGAGAATCTGGATACTGTATGTTATTATGATCTCTTTGAATTGTTTGAATGCTGAGGAAAGAGCAACAGCTGCTAAAAGTTATTTGTTTATAAATGATCCTAAATTAATCCAAGATAGGTATTTTGAAAATACCTTGCCTTCAAAATTTAAGTCAAAAGGTATGTTACTTTGGAGAAGAGGTTTTGCTTTTGTTTTTACAGGAAATGAGAGGCTATGGATTCATTCCATATTACAAAAAATCAGGTTTGATAAAGGAAGACCCACTGAAAAATCTCTGATATGAGTGGATGGCCCAGATGTCAGAGTTCTACATCTAGAACAGATTCAAGATTGCTGCCTGAGATGATCAAGCCTCACAGGACTTAATCATAATTCTAAATTTTCTTTAGGTCCCCATAAGATTATCAGCATCCTCACTCAGCAGGAAGTAGCCTGGAATACTACTCCCACATTCCCAAAAAATGGACTATGAATATTTCCCTTTATTTAAAATGTTGGTTACAAGTTGCTATAAATAATAGTCAGGCAAAAAGCTAAACAAAAGATAATAGGTTCAGAATTCTTGTTTTGAAAAGGGGGGGGTGCTGTGGGACAATGGTGTTTTATCCTGTCACTTGTATTATTTTTAATAAAATGCTGATTAGTCAGTAGCCAAACTGGAAGTATAGGTGGGGAAACCAGGCAGGAGGTAGAGGAAGGGCAATGAGAACAGGAGAATTCTGGGAAAAGGAAAGTTCAGTCTGTAGTTGTGACCTAGTCATAGAGGAAGCAAGATAGCAAGATGTGACTGCCTTGCCAAAGAAGGTATCAAACCATGTGGCTAACACAGACAAGAATTATGGATTAATGTAAGTTATAAGAATTAATAAGAAGCCTGAAATACTAGGCCAATCAGTTTATAATTAATGTAGACCTCTGTGTGATTTCTTTGGGACTTAAAGACTGCAGGAACTGGGCAGGACAGAAACCTCAGTAAACAAAAACCTTCCTTTTTATTTAAACAGAAAAGGAGAGGTGATGTGGGATTCCTCTCTATATGCTGTGAATATCATTGGTTAATAAAAAAACTACTTTGAAGCTGCATGGTGATGGTGCATGCCTTTAATCCCAGCACTTGGGAGGCAGAGGCAGGCGGATCTCTGTGAGTATGAGGCTAGCCTGCTCTACAAGAGCTAGTTCCAGAACAGGCTCCAAAGCTACAGAAAAACCCTGTCTTGGAAAGCCAAAAAAGAAAAAAGAAAAGAAACTGCTTTGAGACTATAGCAGAGCAGGGCAGAACAGAGTTAGGCAGGGAAAACTAAATTGAATGCTGGGAGAAAGAAGGCAGAGTAGAGAGAAGCCATGTAGTCCCACTGGAGACAGACACCAGAACTTTACCATGAAGCCACAGCCTCATGGCGATACACAGATTAATGGAGATGAGTTAATTTAAGATATGAGTTATCCAGAAATACACTTAAGCTATTGACCAAACAGTATTACAAATAATATGGTTTCTGTGTGATTGTTTTGGGAGTCTGTATGGCCGTAAAATGAACAATTGGCTTCCTACAACATATGACTGTCTAGACTCTTTTTCCTCTCTCAAGGCTGCATATATTTATCCAACACTGTGCCCCATTTAGAGTTTTTTTTTTTAATCTGAATCTGTCTTTATTGTTTATCTGTAATTATTTTCTGACCAGGAGCAGGTTTTTGTTTATTTGTTTTTTAATGCTAAATGGGCATAGCTAGGATCAACTCTGCCATCTTGCCTGCTGTATGCACCAAGTCCAACATGGAGGAGGCATCTTCATTGCCTCTGAGTCATGTACATTGCCCCAGTTCCAGGGTCACAGAGGGTCTTTGTCACCATTAAGCAATTTGTAACATGCTAATCATAGACCCCATTTAAGCACTTGGCCTCCTGAAAGGGCCAGAGGTGTTTGTGCAACTAGCACAAACCAGAAAGGGCATCCTTTTGAAACTGTGCAGGGGTTTTTGTTTGTTTATTTGTTTTTGTTGCTGCCGCTGAATAAGGAAGACCTCTCAGCAAATAGAGCAAGAAGCTGCATTAAATTGTGTGTGTGTGTGTGTGTGTAGAATTTCTTTTCTAGCTCTTATGTGGGAGGATCTTCTGTTTTGAGTTGATTTCATTGGTTAAAAAAGAAACTGCCTTGGCCTTTGATAGGACAGAAAATTAGGTAGGCAGAGTAAACAGAACAGAATGCTGGGAAGAAGGGAAGTTAGGCAGACGCCATGCCTCTCCTCTCCAGGGCAGATGCAATGAAGCTCCAGCCCAAGATGGACATAGGCTAGAATCTTCCCGGTAAGCTACCACCATGTGGTGCTACACAGATTACTAAATATGGGTTAAGCAAGATATGAGAGTTAGCCAAGAAGAGGCCAGATATAATGGGCCAGGCAGTGTTTAAAAGAATACAGTCTCTGTGTAATTATTTCGGGGCATAAGCTAGCCAGGGGGCCGGGAGCCAGGCGGCAGGAATGCAGCCCGCAGCTCCTTCTACAAAGCTCTCTCAGGGTTTTTATGTGGATGTAGTCAGCCCAAGTAGGCATACCATTAGATGGACACTGTTCATTTCCAGCTGCCCAGATCACAATGTAATCACTCAAAAACTATATTACTTTTCCTTGACTCTGCCTTCTCTCTCTCTCTCTCTCTCTCTCTCTCTCTCTCTCTCTCTCTCTCTCTCTCTCGGTGTGTGTGTGTGTGTGTTTGTGTGTGTGTGTGTGTGTGTATCTATCTTCCAGCCTGGCTTATTCTGTTAATCCATTGGCCAAAAGCAGCTTCTTTATTAACCAATAAAACAACACATATAGAGAAGGACTTCCCACACCACATGATCATCATTCCTTAAAGAATCAGTACAACAACGCCACACAGGGCAGTCACACTGTATATAGTGTTTTACAAGTGCTGCAGACGAGGTTCAAAGAAAAGTGTGGGTTATATGCAAAGTCTGATGTTTTATTCAAGAGCATTGAGCATCAGTGAGAGCAGAAACCAAGCCCCACAGGCTGACAATGAAGAGACACATGTCACCTCACTTTGACTAAGGTGGCAGATAGATGACACAGTGTCATTTCCCTACCCCCTCCCCTGGTCACAGGGTCATTGTGGCATGTGTGAGTGTTGGTACCACTAGGGAAATACTGTGAACAGCATGTTACTCTATAATTCTCTGCTTAAAAAATATTTCTCAAGAGGCTAGTCAGGGAAGGTATGAGTTCAAAGCCTGCCTGGGCTATGCAGCTAGTTGGAGGCAACTTGTTCCAATCTCCAAAAACTTAGAAATTTAGATAGAGGACTGGGGATACTGCTCGGTTCAGAGAACTTAAGCACATTCAGTCTGTCTTCAGTACTGAAAATAAATTGCTTGCACACAGGCACACACGCACGCATGCACACTTTCTAGAGTTATATTCTTCTCTTGGTTTTTATTATATTTTGAACATAAATTTTAAATTGTTCACTGATAACTTGGACTTTGCAATAATTGGAAACCACTTTTCTCAAGTTGCTAAGCTACTTGCTTCAAGTTTCCACTAAACACAACCTTCAAAACACAGATTTATCCGCATTAAATAAAACCCTGTTAGCTCACACTAGAACTGGCTTTTCTGTGAAAAGTCAACATTCGGAATATAAACCTAAACTCCTGCCCTTTTTATTTCTAGGGACCAAGAAAAAGAAATCAAAGTCAGAAAAAAATAGAAAAAAGCTCAATCTGTGAAAGTAAGTAACTCTTGTAAACTTGCTTTTTCTGTAGAAAAACAGTACCACAAGTAACTATAATACATTTTTGAGGGTTTTGTTTTATGGCCAAAGCTGGCCTCAAACTTGTGTTAATCCTCCTGCCTCAGTCTCCTGATGTAATAAGGTCTTTGTAATATCTCCGAAAATGGAATGTTCTTTTTTTTTTTTTAACTATCTTTGTGTTTTAAAAACCAGGACCTGGTGGCATAGCTGTGACTGGCCTGTACTTTGCTATGTAGAATAAGCTGGCCTCCAACTCACAAAGATCCACCTGCCTCTGCTCCCTGAGTGGTGAGATTAAAGTTGTGCACCCCAAAGCCTGGCAACATATCTGTCATCTCTAATTTTCTGTTGCTTTCAAACCCATCAGGTTTTGTTTTCTTGTTAAATGATGAACTTTTAAAAATGAGAAATAATTTTCCCCAGATCTTCTTTTTATCCTTTTTGATAGGTAAGTACTATGCCACTGAAATCTAGAGTCTACATGTGAACTCTACATGTGAATCAGCGTGATTCATTCTGTGTGAGCCATGTGTATTAGTGGTATACCAGAAACTTCTCTGGCTTAAGAGCCTGCAGGGCTCCATGCTGGGACATTGTTAATTATACTGAAGAGTGGGCGTGCCATCTTCTGTGATCCAGTTCCTAATGTCTCGGCATCATTTAAGAGGTCACTTTTGGTGTTGCTTCATCTTTGTTTGATCAGATCAACACCCAAGATTTTGAGTTCAGGAAAGGCATCAAGGAGGTGTCAAGGAGAGTGGCCCCCATAGGTTCTGATGTTTGGATCTTGGTCTATAGTTAGTGGAGTTTTAGGGAAGGATTAGGAGCTGTGAGCCTGTTGGTGTGTCACCCACACCAGACCTGGGTAGCTCTTGTGCCTCACGGTTCTGTCTCAGGATGTGGGTTCTCAACTACTGCTCCCATGCCATGCCTGCCTGCGGCCATGCTCCCTACCATGGTGGTCATGGACGCTTATCCTCTGGCTCTGTGAGCCCAAAATAAACACCTCTTTTATAAATTGTCTTGGTCATAGTTTCTTATCGCAGCAGCAGAAACAGACCTAAGAGTTCCGTGCTAGACAGGAGCTCAGTGAGGTGGGAGGGTGATCTGCCTGGTTTTAAAAGGGGTGCTGTGAATCATCTTAGGGCACCTGGATGGCCTGGCTTGAAAAAGGTGTTTAGGCTTGATCGTCTTCCTCAGGTGCTGTTGCTCAACTGTGATGGCTGCAGACTTGTTTCTGAGTTGGTAGATTTGGTTTGGTTTGGTTTGGTTTGGTTACAGTCTGCTCTGCTCTGAAAAGTTCAAGGGCTCTTACCTTCCTCTGTCTTCTCAGAATCTCTGCCTAGCTGCTGGTGTCTCTGGGAGGGACTAGCAATGCGCATTCAGAATATTTCTGAGGCCTTCCCAGGAGCACAATTGTATTTCATTTTATTTTATCTTCATTTGATGTCGGTGACTGGCAGCTCCTGGGTCTGCTGTTCACTCAGAGGCAAAGCCACGGCTTCTCTGGTTCTTGTTGCCATCTCCAAGCAGTCCTGGGTGAGCCGGGCCATGTGCTTGTGCCTGAGGTCAGGGAGGCAAGTGTACAGCTAAAGAAACCTTAGCTCTCAGAGTGTCAGTAACTAAGTCATTAAGGTAGTAAGTGGCACATTAGGGTCGAGTCTCAGCCTCGGCCAGTGTCCCCACCTGAGCTCTAAGGTAACCTCTGTCTCACTGCCCTACCCTTCAGCCTGTCCAGGATAAAAACACCACTGGAAGAGACATTTTAAAGTTTTATTTCATCTTTAATTATAGACAGGGGTAGGATAGACGGGTAGCTAATGTGCGTGTGAGAGCAGGTATGTCCCCGGAAGCCAGAAGAGAGGTCGGGTCATCTGGACCTGGAGTTCTAGACATGAGCAGACTGACCTGAGGGCTGGGAAGCAAACTTAGAACTGAACTCAGGTCCTCTTCAAAAGCAGTATGCACGTAACCCCATGAGCCATATCTCCAACCCTAGAGAAACATCCTCATCCCCAAAGGAGTTGGCCACTCTGAGAGTCTTAGTGTTGCAGAAACCACAAAGATCCAGGCCTCACTTCCCATGTGACTAATTCAATAGGTTGCTGACTATTGAGACAAATGCAAGCAAATCCAACCTCTACCCCAGGGTCTTGGCAAATAGCATGTCTGCATGACAGTGTGCACAGTCTTGCTCGTGAACCTGTCTTTACTCAGCCCTTGGCTCAACCGTGTGAGACTGTGACTGATCTGGTAGGGATCCAGATACTCTGAAGAGACAATTGTCTCTCCAACTGACTATCAGACTGTTGAAACAATGGACCTCTGAGAATTGAGGGTTTCCCAGGAATCTTTCATAGAAGAAGGGAAAGGTATCAGCCAGGGGGATCTTATCTCTGGGAGAGAGATTTCTCACAGTTCTGACAACTCGTGAGACCCATTTACAGTGAGACTGAAGCCCAGATGAGGCTGGGTCTGTGGTGGGTGGGACCACATCTTGACCAGGACTGCTTAGATCTACATCCCTGGCCCTCTGTTTAAACTTTGATCCCACTTCACAACCCTGAGGATTCTGGGAAATGTCGCTGTATCTCTTTGTCCCTCTTCCCAGTGTGGCCACATTGAATAAATCTCCTTCCTCTGCTCCCCGCTGCTAATTTGGCGCTCTTTTTATTGGCTAATGAGTACAGGTTGCCAGACCTGACTTGGGGCACAGGTCATGAGCCCCCAAGTTGATAAGAGGCCTGAAGGCTATATAGGTGAGCATGTCACAGAATGCTGCAGAAACAGAACTTCCCACACACTAGAGAACACGGGGACGGCTAGGGGACTTTCCCTATTGGACTAGCCACCTGCCATGAACTTAAAGACCCTCTGGGACCCACTTGGGAACCTAGGACAGTACACAGAACAGAGCCCAGCAGACAGTGTCTAGTCACACATCACCCACCCTGCCTCAGGCATTGTCACTGCTCTAGATCTATAGATTGGACAAATACCACTAAGGCAGTATTAACTCATAACCGGCAACAGCCCCAGGCTCCACGGCACTCTAGTGCCTGGATTAGGTACTCCTAATGACGTACTACTGAAAAGTCCTTCTGGGAACCAAGCTGTGGACATCAATCCTTGTTCATCCAACAGCCCACAGGATGTAGGGTGTCCTTACAGCCTGCAGACACCCTCCTTCAGACCCTGACAACAGCAACAGCTTTTCCTGGGTTTTTCTAAGAGGGCTGTCAGGATACAACAGCTCAGAAAGAAAGCATCCACTGTTCCTTACTATGGCAGCTTGGTAATGGCCTTGGGAATGTCGTGGCTGCCCTTCCTGGCAGCAGTGTTCCTGTCTGTTTTCTGTGATGCAACCTCCTTATCTCTGCAGTAATCTTATCATTTCCTTCCAGCCCCCAGTGATGCATCAGTTCCCAAAGTTCTGCCGCCATCTCACCACCGTCCGCTGGCCACAGTGGTTACACTGGCTGCCTGTGCCGATCCTGTCTGCCCCGCTTCCTCCTATTGCATCACGGTGTGCTGTGGGAAGCATGGAGGGGCCAGCAGGCTGCGCTCTCGTCATGCAGGTTAAAGACATTCCATGGTTTAAAGGCAGCAGATTGCCAGGGAGTATCTACAAGTTTTTACCCACAGGCGAGACCAGAGCTCAGGCAGTCCCAGGCTGAGGCCTCCTGCCTAGACTTTATAGAGGCCTCAGCCTGTTCAGGAGGGAAAACAAAGCTGTGTCCTGTTTGTTCCATTTTAAATGTGTTACCTGGTTGCTGTAGGTCTGGGGTACACTTAGACAGTCCAAGGAAAGCTAGTTTGGTGCCAATATAAAGGGAATGAGAGGTGGAAACGTCTGGTAAACCTGTAACCTACCCTAGACTTCCGGTCTTTCTGTTCAAAGCTCGGGATAAGCCATTCTTGTAACACAGCTAGAGTCTTAGGAGTAGGGAAGTTCTGCCGAGCAATAAAGCTGTTGCCTAAGCGTGCATGTTACAGAGTTGAATTAGTGAGGGGAAACATGGATAACAAAACCTTGGCGAAAGCAGAAACAGCACAAAATGATTTCTCCTCCATGATCACCCTGCTCAAGAGTAACAGAAACAATTCCTCCATGATTTCCCTACATGAGTGTGACAGAAACAATTCCTCCATGATCACCCTATATATGAGTGTGACAGAAACGATTCCTCCATCATCCTCCTACACATGAGTGTAACACATGATTTCTCCTCCATGAACACCCTCCACATGACTGTGACATGATTATCCTCCATGATCACCCTACACATGAGTGTGACATGATTCCTCCTCCATGATCACCCTCCAAATGAGTGTAACCTGATTTCTCCTCCATGATCACCCTACACTTTGCCTCTGGTCTCTCTGACTAAACGTCTAACAGATAGAACTTGAAGGAGAGGAATGTGGCGCAGCCATGGTCCCCATGCTCTTGAACAAACCCTAGTGCATGTCACAGAGACATCACCCCACTTAGAAGACAGGGAGTAGCAGAAGAAATGGGAAATGGCCAGGATGACACAACCCCAAGAACCCAACTCCCACATGTCCCTGCCTCCCAACAGGACTTTATGAATCCATCAAGAAGTTGATTCATCCGTCAGGCCAGGCCAACTGTCTTTGGAAGCATCTTCTAGATACACCCAGTGGTGTGCTTCCCTAACCCCTGTTTTAGTACAGTTGAGTAGACAATCACAACTTGTAGATGGAGGTCTTTTCCGCCAGCAGCCTCAAATAACCCCATGGAGACTTCTTATTAATTTTGAAAGCTTGGCCTTCAGTATATGCTTCTCTCAACTAACTCTTATAGTATAAATTCACACGCTTATTATATTAACCTACATTCCATCATGTGGCATTGCCTCTCTTTCGTCTTACCCCTCCTGTTTCCTCTCCTTCTGGCTGATGATCTGCCCATTTTTCCTAGAGTCCTCTCTGTCTCCAGAAGTCTCACCTAACCTCTTCCTAGCTGTTGGCCAGGCACAGCAGTGCGTTTTCACACAGTGTGGGACGTCCCACAACTGAACAACACAGGGAGTGAGCCAAGATCTGCTAATTCCCGTCTGGATCTAGCAGTGACACTAGGAAGTCCCTGACTGGATTAACTATATTTCCGTGACAACTGAAGCACATTTCCAGTCTTCATATTTAGGTACCTTTGCCATTCAAGACAGTATCCATCAACAGATAAATGGATTTGTAAAATATGTGCTTCTATACAATGTCATCTTACTGAGCTGTAAAAAGATGTGATTCAGACACATGAGCATGAACTGGCGTGAGCTAGACACAAAAGGGCAAGTAGTTTGGGGGTGGTGCTTTATCTCATGGAGAAATGACAAGAGCTAGAGAGCACAGCTGTAGGAGGAGAGAGCTTGTTCTTCCGGGCCGCCCAGAACCGAAATAATCACACAGAAACTGTATTAATTAAAATACTGCTTGGCCTATTAGCTCCAACTTCTTATTGGCTAGCTTTTACATCTGAATTTACTCTATCTCCATTATCTGTGCATACCACGAGGTCATGGCCTAACAGCACAGTTTTAGCACATCTGTCTCTGTGGCAGCTCCATAGCGTCTCTCTGACTCCACCTCCTTTCTCCCAGCATTCCATTTAGTTTTCCCTACCTAGCTCTGTTCCCCTATAGGTTGCTATAGGCCCAAAGCAGTTCCTTTATTAACCATTGATATTCACAGCATACAGAGGGAAATCCCACATCACACAGCCCAGCTTTCCAGGAGTTTGTGGTGGAGAAAGAGGATGGGGAAGCTACTCTGTGGGTACAGAGTCTGTGGGGGTACTGAGAAGGTTCTAGAAATGGAGAGGGGATAGCAGCTGCCCAGAGTTGTGGATAGACTTAAGGCTGATGTACTGAATATTTTAAAATGATCAGAATGTTTGGTACCAACATCTGGTATCTCTAGCATCTCTAAGATGAGAAGAAGCCACAGCACAGTCTAAAGTATCTGAGAAGAGAGGCCTCACTTGACAAGGTGATTCCTTATGTGCAGTGCTGAGTCTAAAGGTTCTCAAAGGCACCACCCATGTATGGTGTGGAGTAAAGACAGCCTGGCTGAGACACACAGATCATGCTTTCTCTGAATTCCCCACACTCAGGCCAACTTGAACATTTTCAGAAACTCGTCCCACTTTATGCCAAGGTGGCCAGAAGGCATCACCTCTGAAATCCAAACTGGCTAAGTTGTGTGGGCTGTTCTGTTACGTGGTTGCTATGGCAACGGTCACCACAGTGCTTTGGAGACACTAGAAGGAGCCCTTAGAGCGCACAGTGCATGTTGACTTGGCTTCCAATCTCTTCAGCTCTCCGCGTGATGACTCATTTGCTCACACTAGAAATAAGCACACAGCCAGAAAGGCCTGGGACTTTGGCTGATAAACAGTCTCCTAATGGCCTTCCGTGTACCCTTTCCCTCCAAAATTGTGGTAAAAACACAGAAAACAAGGGTCCACATAAGTCTCGGGTATCTCCAGTTTCCTCTCCTGCCAGCAGAGTCTTCCTAGATCCAAAACATCGCAACTCGGTCTTCCTCGTGTTTGTGGACTGTGTTGTAGAGTCCTTTCTTCTGTGTCTCTGGCTTCTCGGTGCTTTATCAAGAAGCTGTCTCCTTTCAATACTTCTGCACATCATCTCCTCCAGTGGTCAAAATATGCCCTGTGTGTCTGCTGCTCACTCCTGTGAGTGTGTTCTGAAGAGTACAACAACCCTTTGTCCTTGCCAGAGCCAAGTACACCCTTGACTCTGGGGTCCTCACTAGGTTCCTTTCCAGTTACACCAGTCAGCAGGAGCTTCCAGGGCATTGCCTCACTGTCTTCCGACACTGGGAGTGTCCCCTAGGTTGGGGGCTCTGGATGAGGTTAGCACATGTCCACATCCACACAGGAACATTTAGGGGTCATCACCTTGGAGCCCCTGTTTTCCTAACCTTCTCTGAACGTTCAAGGATTGGCCCGAGTTCAGTTTCAACAGGTTTGGAGAGCTGCAGACTCCATCTCCAGGGTCAGAAATGGGTCCTTCTGTGCTGTCCTTTGCCTCCATTAGCCTCTTGTCTGTGTAAATGAAGTACTAACTCCCAGAATGCCCCTGGGAGTGCAGTTTCCAAGGGTTACGTTACCTTTGAAGCCAGCCTGGATGTCTAAGTCCCCACAGTTCACCCCCAGCACTGCGTAAATGAATATGGTGGCAAAGGCCTGTGATCTCAGCCCTTGAGAGATAGGCCCGAGGCTCAGGAGCCGCAAGGTCATCCTTGGCGACATAGTTCAAGGCCAGCCTGGGCCACTAGAGCCCCTGTCTCAAACAAAAAAGGATAGAAGTTTAAAGGGGGGGAGTAAAAAAATTTATCACTTGCCCTCTCCCATAATGGGATCCCTATGGAACCCCAATATCCAGAGCTTTTGTAAGAAGTTGAGTTTCCCTCCTTTTAAAAAGGATGAATAAGAGAAAAAGCACAATTCCTGCAGGAGAGTAAATTACACAACACACTTTTCTAAAGCTTTCACATGTTGGGCGACGTGCTAACGGGACAAGGAGCCCAAAGGATGTTTTTTCTGAACCAGTTTTTTACTTAATCCGAAATGGATTTTACTTAAACAAAAATAAATTCTGGTTTCTTTGGGGTTTTATTCGTAATCTCTACATCATCTCTCAGTGTGAAAAGGTCTGAACTGTTGACTCAAACCAACAAACTTATAAGCACATTAAAGATTTGGAAGAAACATGTTGAATTCAGTGCATCCGCCCCTTATATCCCGATTTCATCTCCTTTTGCTTTTAGTAACATTGTGGTTTTTTGTAATTTTATACCAAGTGTGTACAGACTTCGTAAACAGCTCACACACCATTGCACCAAAGCCCTCGTCATTTGTTTCCATTCATTTATGGGATAACTAAATGAGTTGTTTCTTATTGTAAACGATGCTTCAAGAAACATTGGTGTGTAGATGGATTTTTCTTTGGGCCACCAGATTACAAAAAAAAACAACATAGAAAATTATTATTAATTATGAAAGCTCATCCTATAGCTTTGGCTTCTCCCACTAGCTCTTATAACTTAAATCAACCCATTTCTATTAATCTTCGCTTTGCCTTGTGGCTTTGTATCTCTCTCCCATCTTGCACCTCCTGTTTCCTCTGTGTCCTCTAGTGCCTCTCCCATGCCTAGATTATTCTTCGTCTCTCTCTACCCAGAAGTCCTGCCTAACATCTTCCTGTCTCGCTATTGGTCATTCAGATCTTTATTAAACCAATCCAAAGGCGCCTTGGCAAAGACACATTTTTACAGTGTACAAAATGATTATTTTAAAACATTTTTGGATCCTCTTGTCTGTTCTAGCTTTATTCTGTTGCTGTGAATAATAAAAATAGGAAATAAAAAATAACTTTAAAACCTGACAAAAAGCAACTTGTGGAAAAAAGTTTACTTCAGTTTATAATTCTAGGTTATAGCTCATCGTTGAGAGGAAGCCACAGGGTGGGGACCAGCCACGTGACATCCAGTCTAGAACAGAGAGAAACAGATCCACGCATGCTGCTTGCTCCATTGTGCTCAACTCGATTTCTCAATTTCTCCACTTTTATGCAGTTCAGGGACTCTTGCCTAGGGGATGGTGCTGCCCACAGTAGGCTGGGTCTTCTTATATCAGCTATGACCATCCCACACAGACCTGTCCACAGACTAAACAAATGTAGATAGTTCCTCCCTAAGATTCTGTCCAGGTTATTCTGGATTTTGTCAAGTTGACAAAACCAACCACCAAATATATAAATATTTAAAATGCTAGTGGTCACTTTTCTTTTTAAAAGTACTTATAAGAGGGCTCTACAGAGACGGCTCTGGTTAAGAGCACCAAGTGCCCTTATAGAGGACCCAGGTTCAGTTCCCAGCACCCACATGGCCACTCACAAACCTGCAACTCCAGTCCCAGGGGACCCAATGCACCTTACTGGCATCTTCAGGCACTGGGCTTGCCTTTGGTGGAGGCATTTATACATACACACAAAAATAAATCCTAGAAAAAAATGACTTTATCATATAAAAGAAATAAATAAATTCTAGAAGTACCTAGAGAATGTTCCTTTAACTGAAAACTCTAGTGGATAAGGTACAGATATTTTCTATATTTGCACTTCCCATCCTCAACTCCTAATTTCTTTCTGGTTTCCAAAACCATAGGTCCAAGCTCCAAAAGTTGCTGTCTTTTTCTCAGACTCTTGCTCTCTCCCTCTCCCTCTTCTCCCCCGTCTGCTCCCTTCCCCTTCTTTCTTCCTCCCTCCCTAGGCCCACATGTCTGGCCAGTTTGAGGAAAGTTCCCTTGGTTCCCTCATTTTGATCTGTGCAAACAGACCCGGCCTTGAAGGTGGTTAGGGGCTCACGTGGTCCTGCTGTCTGTAAAGTATCCACAGCCTTCAGAGGAGGCATGTCGGGAAAGGGGTGCTTTAACCAAGGAGGTAAATACCTACGGTTATTATGCATAACTTTCCTGCCCCCTAAGCCTACACCACAACCGTTAGTCCTCCTTTAAGACACCCTGATAGGCCTGATGGCCATTTTATTCTCTGTTGGCGTTCCTCCACTTTTAGGGACATGTCAAAACCTGGGAGGAAGGGCCATAATTCTTAAAGAAATGGCGGTCAGACTGAACTGTGTGGACTTAACAGAAAAGGTCAGTGAACTGGGCGATGGTCATTTTACAGTCTTTGACCAAACACTGGCGTGGCACTGTGCCAAGGGAGGCAGGCGGCAGAGAACGAGTGCCAAGTGCACTGCAACCGCAGCACCTGGGAACAGCCTCGGAGCCTCGGAGCCTCTGTTGACAAAGGATAATTAATTTAATTGTCAACAGCTGTTCCTAAATAAGGAGGAAGTCACAGACAGTTGCCCAGCTCTGCACCTGGGGCCTGAGGCGCTCTGAGGAGATTCCAGACTGGCTCTGGAGACAGGAGGGCCTTCTTTGGGAAAATAGAAAATGTGATTAAAGCCACTTCTCGTCTCTTGCTGTAAGAGGGACGTAGGAGGGACGACTCATCTCTGACTCTCTTGTTGCTGAATCACTGGGGGCTTCAGCACTGGACATTTAAGCCGTTCTGTCTAAAAGGAACAAGAGACAACCCAAATCACGAGACACATGGGTCCACACAGGTATGCTGGTTGGCTGTTAGTGTTGGCTTAACTCTTACAACTAATCCTTTGTTTCCTCGTCAAAGTAAGCTGACAATCTTAGAACTTTAAGGATAATTTATCTAGACAAATAAAATATAATTACTGGGAAATGTAAACTGAAACCTGATGGAGACGGTGGAGCTGGTGACTTAGGGATCCCATCCGCATACAGCCCCATGATGATGCCCAGGCCGAAGCTGGTGCTGAGGGCCATGTCTGGGTCTATGGTCCTGCTGCAGCTGGGGTCTGTGAGGATGCCCATGGCTCCTTGTTGCTATTGGGGGTCATAGGAACCCTGCATGTTGAAATATGAAGGAGGGCCATACTGAGCCAGCCCTGCCCCTTACTGGATTGCTGGACCTGCCCCTTGCTGATCACTGCTGCAAGAGAATTGGCCACACCCCCATAAGAGAGCTGGCTCCACCCCTCTGTATGGGCGTGGGAAAGATGACTGCCCCTTGACTGAGGGAGGTGGTTCCAGTGGCGTGGACCAATCAGCTCAGCTACGACTTGAGACCCACATCCTGGACCTTGGCTTGGCCCACCCTACGCCATCTAGGACCTGTTGGGGTGTGTGGAGGGCCTGGTCCTGTGAAACCATAGCTGCAGGGTCCCTCTGACTTGGGATAGCTGCAGGATATTGGAAGGGAGTTTGGGTGAGTCTCCAGTGGGGATGGTGTGCCAGGGGCCTTGAACCAGACCAATGACTCATTGCAATGAGCATTTTGTGAGCGGGCTGACTGGACAAAAGGATGTACTGTGCCATCCACCACAGCACCCAGTGCCGCTAGGATGAATGAAGAGGTATTGGAAAGACGGAGGATAGAGGTGGTCTTTTGTTTTTAGGGGGGTTCTTGTAGGTATAGGCCGCAGGGGTGAGGGGAGAGTATGGAGGGACTGAAGGTGAGGGAGATTGGGGTGCATGATGTGCCAGGGGCCTTGAACCAGACCAATGACTCATTGCAATGAGCATTTTGTGAGCGGGCTGACTGGACAAAAGGATGTACTGTGCCATCCACCACAGCACCCAGTGCCGCTAGGATGAATGAAGAGGTATTGGAAAGACGGAGGATAGAGGTGGTCTTTTGTTTGCTTTGTTTTTAATTGGTTGGGGGGGTTCTTGTAGGGGGAGGCTGCAGGGGTGAGGGGAGAGTATGGAGGGACTGGGAGTTGTATGGGACTGGGGTACATAATGTGAAATTCCCAAAGAATCAATAAAGACTTGTTATAAAAAAAATGTGTGTGTGTGTGTGTGAGAGAGAGAGAGAGAGAGAGAGAGAGAGAGAGAGAGAGAGAGAGAGGAGAGAAAATGCATGTGAGTATCTGTATATGTGGATACATGTGTATGCATATCGGGTGTGTTCACTCACATGTGAAGCTGGAAATCGAGCATCTTCCTCAGTAACTACCCTTATTTTTTGAGATGAGGTCTCTCCCTAACCCTAGAGCTAGGTTGACTGAGCAGGGAGCCCCAAGGATCTGCTCTCCCAGCAGTGGTGTTACAGGCACATGTCATTGTATGTGCCTAGCTTTTGACTGAGTGATGGGGAGGTATCTGACTTCATGCCATCATGCTAGCCTGGTGAACACTTAGCTTCCCAATGAAGGGCAGTTAGCTAGAAACCTTCAGGAATGTGTTTTTCTTTTATATATATATATTCTTTCATGCATGTATGTGATATGTCATTGATAAAATACATATTAACATATTTCATATAGACATAGTACATGTGAAGAGAGAGAAAGAGGAAGAAACGGCAATGTGTCTGTGGTTTGAGGACGTGCCCTCTGACTAATTCCACTAAGTAAGGATTTGATTGGAAGGACGTCTTGAAAACCCTGATCAAGATGCCCTGGCCCATCTCAGCTGTCTCACAGGATTCCCCCTCTAGGAACCGAAAGGACGTGTAGTACTGGGATTTAAACGTTATCTGTGTACACTTAACTTCATAGTAGAGATCTAGATGATACAGCAACTTTGAAGCTCTGCCCTAATGTTGTCAAATCATCAAAAAATTTCTCAAAGAATCTTAGCATTTGTGCCCAAACACTGCCCAAAGACAATACAGACATCTGGAAGTGACTTTAAAATGCCACATCCTATGAATCAAATTTTGGTTCAGCAAATCCTTTACTCATTGGAAATCTAAAAGAGTAATGTACAAAACTCCTTGGAAGCAATAGATCCAGTATAGGAAGACTTGCCTAGTGTATAGCTATATCACAGAGACTAGACTTTGAGGTCTTCCCCCAAGGCCAAAGGCTAAAATAAGACAAAAATCTGAGAGGGGCTGGAGGGATCTTGCAAGACTTGAGTTCAATTCCCAGCAACCATGTTGGATGGCTCAAAACCACCTGTTAACTCCAACTCTATAGGCAGAAGTTTCTGTCCCACCTGGTACTGCAACTATTCAATCCCAAAGAAATACACAGAGGCCTACATAAATTATTAACTGTTTTAACTACTAGCTCAGGCTTATTGTTAAATAGCTCTTATAATTTAACTCATAATTCTTGTCTATATTAAGCCACGTGGTTGGTACCTTTTAGCAGTGAGGCATTCTCATCTTGCTTCCTCTGCATCTGGATGGTGACTGACAATTGAGCCTTCCCTCTTCCCAAAGTTCTCCTAGTCTGGTCGCCCTGACTATACTTCCTGCCTGGTTACTGGTCAATCAGCATTTTATTAAACCAATATGAGAGACAAATCTTTACAGTGCACAACTCCAAAAGATCTAATGCCCTCTCTTGACCCTGAGGACAATGCACTCAATGCACATACCTACACTTAGGCACACTCAAAATGAATCTTTTTAAACCTAAAAGAGTAAGAAGGCACAAAATAAGTATAACTACTTTGTGAGTCTGAAATGCACTACTGCCATTTTATAATGACTGGCAAATACCTATCCTCACAACCGTATTTTGTGTCATGAATGTACAGTGGGGTTTGATTTCAAAATAGGAACCATGCTCAGTCACAAGGAAGGGGTACAGTTCCCTGGCTGGTTTGGTTTTGTTCTTTACTTTGCTTTTGCATCCCATGATTTTTGAAATTGTGGTTGGATTGTATGTCCATTTTATTTGTCAGTTATTGAACTAACATGATTTATCGTTTGTCATTTTGCTACAAGTTTGAGGAAATAACAGTACAAAAAAGCAAGTTGATTTAGAGAAAATTCATAACATATTTTCTGGATACACAGTGAGAGAAATACAGTACATTTAAATGTCTTGAAATTTTAAAAAATGTTTTGAAAAATCCAATAATATTACAATGCTAGTTTTGCTGGGATAACCACTTGGTAAATATTGTTTTTTAAAATCCAGTAAGAGCCATTTAAACTTAGATTTAATTTTATTACTATGTCTCAAAGTCCATATAAAATACAGTCTAGTCCATTCTCCAACCTTCAGAAAGGGCTACGTTTAACATCAGTTTATCCAGATACACCTTTTCTTAATGAGTCTCTAGAGGAAAAACTATCATTTTTCTTTGCCTTTCTGACAAAAACATACCAAGATAAAGCAAACCATTTCTTTATGCTCTGGATGAAAATGAAGGAGCTGCCTCCCCTGCATTCATCGTTTATGTCATGAGACTGCACAATGGTGGTTGAGACTGTGACGTGGAGCACCGCTCTGTGTCCCTGCTCCAGGCGGTGTGTCTAGGCATGCAAGTCTCTGCTATAATCTCTCCATAGCTCTCTGCCCTTTGCAGATCTCTGACCAGATCCCCCTCAGCACTCATCCCCCATGCCCCATCCATAGCAGTGGCTTTTCTGAATGGACTCTTGCTGCAGTGGGCTCTGCGGCCAGGCAGCTGCCTTTAGTTACCAGGCTCCTTTAAGTAGCCCCAGAAAATCCACTGCTTCTCCAGGCTGGAGTTGGAGAATCATTTCTTAGTCCTGTCGTTCCTGCTCTGAGAAATGAGGTGTGTGCTCTTATCTCTCCAGGAAAAATCACACAACAATGTGGTTTGGGGGGGGGGGGTCCCAATCATGGGTAGCATGCCCTCTTGGAAAGTCGTTCCTTTCTGTTTCCGTCTTGTGACACGAACACGCTATCAGTTTCAGACTGTCAACCATATCAAACCCTGTGCAGAAAGCCTGACTCACAGACACCGACCATGCTGGTGGCCTCCCAGCTTTCCTGATACTCTGTCCCACAAGCCATCTTGTGATGTAAAGCAGAGCATGAACCCAACCCTTCCATAAAACACCCACCACACGTTTGAAAGCTCTAGGGAGAAATCCACAGTAACAACCACCCATCAAATGCATCCTTGGAAAGACCCAGCAGGAGTGGATCACGGTGAACAGCAACCGGTTGGGCTAAACCTTTGAATGCAGTTAGCAGAGATTATGAATTGGTCTCAGGATTTTGTTTTCTCTATTGAGACAGAGGTCATACTATTTAACTCAGGCCAGTCTGAAACTCAATATGTCACCCAGGTTGACTTTAAATTGGTGACAAGCTTTGTTTCTCAGCCCCCCAATGGCAGAAATGTCATTCAAATTACTGGCTATAATTAAATGAAGAATTCTACATTATAAATTTATTTTCTCAACCAAAAAAGCCCTATCTATAAGTGTAATTTTTAAAATACTTTTTCAAACCTCTCTGGTCATTTTCGAGTTTCTCCCACTGTTCAAACAGTAAACAAAGGGCTAAAGAGGACCATAGAGGATGCGCATGCCAGAGAGGGGTTAGCATCACAGAAAACAGTGACATTGAAAGGCTTCAGTGTGAAGAAAAGACTTTGCTTTTTTAAATGAAAATAATTGAATTGTTTTAAAAGCAATATAGGGAATAATATTATTTCAAAACATAAACTTTTTTGTAATAGAAAAAAGAAATAGGAACAAACCCAAAGATCTGGCGTTTTAGAAACTGTGACGTGTCCCATGAAGGAAACTTCACAATAAACACAGCTGCAGACAGGTGTGAAGGTAGATTCTTCCATCCGTATGTCTATGACATGGAGAAATGTGTGTACGCACGCTGAACCCAAGGTAAGGAACCCTCCTCAGTTGACCTCCACCTTATTGTTTTGGCAGCAGGGCCTTGCAGTCAAGGTCAGAGCTCACTGGTTCAACTAGTGTGCCTTACCAGCCTGCTCGGGAAAACCCTGTCCACCATCACCTAACCCTTGGTCTTACTGATGGTCAAGACCTGGAGTCTTGATGACAGAATCTTAGATTCTATCTATTTTTTGTTTGTTTTTCCTGGGTAGTTTCACGATTTCTTTGAAATCCATCTGGCCTCTGCCCTCTCTGACGTCTCCATGACAGATTTAGAAGACTGTTCTTTGTGGGTCTGGGAGGGTCCAGTCCCAGGGCTCTTGTGCCCCATTTCTCCTCTTTATATTTATTTTGTTTTGTGTTTGTGTTTGTTTTGTGTTTGTGTTTATTTGTTGTTGTTTGTTTGGGGTTTTGGGCAGACATTGACCTGAACCTCGGCTGTGCTGTGATCCCAGCCCACAGCTACCCTGAATAAGTTCCACTCAAGCTCAGTGGTGGCCGTAGCTGGCGTCAGTAGGCCCGCATTCTAAACGGGACTGGTGAATGGCTACTCCATCATCCTAATAGGCCCTCACACTGGGAGTTCATATTTCAGCTTAGCTCATCTACAGGGGTTACAAAGAAGTAGCGTGTTACAGCTGGAGCTTTTAAAGGCCTCCCTCCCCTGTATTGTAAATTTCTCTGCACACTTGCTGTGCTTTTAATAATTGAGAACTGAGCTCTGAAAGCCTCCATATTCAGGCCCAGGGGACCTGTAATCAAAAGAG